TACGACCCTCACCCGCTCCGCTTCCAGAAGCCGCTTGGCCACCCAAGCGTACTGCGGCCAGCGGTCGATGACGGGAGCAACGGAGTCCAGGACGTCTCTTACGGTCTCAAGGAAGATCTGATCGTGGGGTCCGACCCGTAACGCCTCGGCGTACAGCATGTCGGCGGCCTCGGCTCCCGTGCGGAAGAAGCCTTCGCCCCGGCCCGGCCGAAAGAGCGGCCGTTTCTTCCAAGAGATCTGTATTTTTTTTTTTAGAATTCAACGCGGATTGATGATGCGCGTGGCGTCGTTGCGTTGAGCGTGTACGTACTTGTGGGAGACGCTCGTTGGCTGGTTCGGCTGTTGGAAGAGATCAGCACTAAATGTCGGCTGTTGTGTTGCTCGTGTTTCGAGGGGAAACGCCAACTAGGAAACGCGCATGAAGGTATGGGCGGACAAACGAAGAACACGACGCGGGAAAATGTACGTGGAACTGACTCACAAGTGTAGCTGTCGGCGTTCGTGCTTCCGGAAGCAACACACGGTTTAATTATGGCTGGACCTATGCGCAGTACACATAACATGACCCCACGCCTTCAAATCGACTACGACTCCGAGCAGGATGTGTGACGGAGGAGCTGCGCTCAAGTCGGCGGTCATACGCACTCACGTGGGCTCTTGAAGTTGCGGTCACCGTGTGGTTGAAGACCCCGAAAATCGGGACAGCACATAGCAGTAGCATTCTACACACTAGATCCTGCTTGTATCTCGCCAAACTCGATGATTTAGTTCTCATGGGAAGGACGGCTCTTGCTAACCCGCTGGCAAAGAGGAAGAGGACTTTAGTTGAGGTCGGGGCTATTCCTCGGGAGGGTGAATAAAACTTCTCTGTGCATTTGACCTTCCTCCTGTGGTGTGACCCCGGCTGATAAGTCAGAAACGGACACCGAAAATATGTCTGTACTGCTGCTGTAGACTGGCATGGGTGGAACACTCGCACTAGCAACTCACACCATTTTTGCCTTATACGGCGTGAAATTGTCTGATTGACGTGTACTTTTCTGACTGACGCCACGACAATTACTTGTGTCGACCGAACACCCATGTCATGTGCACTTCGTCGACGTTGCGTTTATTTACTGTTGCTTATTTCTCTCCCTGACACCGCCCGGATCCCTCTAACCGCTCAACGAAAGTTGAACGAAGAGCCGCAGGCCCTATGGTATGAGAGTGATCCAGAACCAAAAACTTGGTGCGGACCTTTATATTATGGTAGGTACCAACGTTGGAGGTACGGGTTCAACTGCTGAAGTCATCATTGCTGTGCTCCGCGTACGCATATCAAAGGGAGGAAGCCAGGTGATGACAGCGGCACAGCTGGCAACCCAGCCAGCCTTGGCCACAGCAGCAGTGCTTGTAGTGCTTCCGGTTTTTTTTTTTTTTTTCTCCCATCATTGGACTCGGTGCTTGCCATCGGGGTTGGGTTTTCGTCGCTTGGCAACGACGTTGTAAAACAAGCCGCCCCCAATCCAAGGATAAGGAGGGTCTAGAAGTGTACGGAATGTTGAAGGAAGGAATAGGGTTCAAGGACTACCTACATGGACCAATGGATGCAGGAACAAAGCTTAAGGTCAAATTCAGGACCGGGGACATAGGCCTTCGAGAACGTCGACGAAGACATAGGACGGTAGACGAGGAAGACGACGAGTTCAAATGTGATTGCGGCTTCGAATGCGAAGACCGTGTTCATGTAGTCGCGGAATGTCCGTTGTACAAGAAGGAGAGGGAAGTGTACGTGACTGAGCTGGGAAA